AACATCTAGGGGAAAAAATAAGCTAAGCTAACCTGGTTCGGAATACACCCACAGTCGAATTTATCCAACACTGCAAAAGCGTCTTGTGTTTTGTCGCATATTTTGAAAAATCACGGAAAGCGCTAAGAAGTGAATTGTTGCTTTATATGAGAATAATGGCTGCGTTCAGCAGAACGTTTGTTTTGCAACTGTTGGAAGTTTCCTTCGCGCTGATTGGATCATACTTTTAGATCTAGAAGAATGATCCTATCTCAACAGACAATCATAAAACGGTTGCAAAACTGTTGAGTCTGCTGAACGCAGCTATTGATAATAGAAAACTATGAGCAAATCGACATACCCCAAGTTAGTAAAAGAAATAAATGTTTATGGTGAAAAGATAATGTTGATATTGGCTGCGTTCAGCAGAAAAAGCAGCTTTGCAACTGTTGTAAAATTCTTTAATATGATTGGTCTTAGTTTATCTTGCCCTTAGTTCCTCATTGGATCTAAATGTATAAATCAATCATATTCAAGAATTTTACAACAGTTGCAAAGCTGCTTTTTCTGCTAAACGCAGCCAATGAGAATTTTAAGGTTTGAGTTTATCATATTTTATTACTGTTATTTACATCGCTTTTAATAACAACTGATATCTTTTGTAAGTAATTTTCAAGTTATGTTTATCAAGTTTCATACGCGCGACAAATCTAATTACTTTTAGAATGACGCGTGACGCGCGCGACAAATAAAGCTGGTTCTACATTGATCGCATCGCAGCATCGCAAACGTGTCGCAAGCGTTGCGGTCTAATCAGAGTCGAGCTAGCTTGACGTTGATTGGACCCATGAAGAATAGAGATAAGGAGGTCGAACTAGCATGAAAAAATGTTCGAAAAACACGGCCAAATTGCTCACTGAACTCTAATTTACTAATGCTCCGCTAGATGGCGGCTCTGTTTCATCGTACCTAAAGTCACTAGATTAACAAAGTACCGCGAACTGCCGCCATTTTGGCTCCATGACGCGGTTATTTCAAACTTATGTATGAATATATATTATGTATTAGGAGGAGTTTTATGTATTAGGTGCCGTCCGGCAATGGTGCCGTCCGACAATAGAGGAACTCCTCTTATAAAGTAAAATGGTAAATTAGATATATCAATTTTCTTTGCAATTTTTATTTGTTTTAAAAAACATAAAAGAAAGGAACTCTTATATAATATAAAATATAAACTATAATATAATAGAATATATTTGCTGTTAATTCGTAGGCAACAGTCTGCTTTCATTTAGTGGAAATGCCACACAGCATGAAAACAAGCCCATGTGTAGCATACTCTTTACTACTATCAAATCCACCCGGCAATTTCATTGTAGGGCGACCAATAATTGAAGTAGTCGAATTATCATACTGTAAACCAGGTTTTATAGCCATTTCATCTATCAAAAGTACTGCATGTTTTTCTTCAGGTTTGAACGTTTCTACCTGAAGTTAAATTACAAATCAAATAATTTAAATTAAAGGTATATGCTAAAAGTGAACATGTGTACAATCATTGATATATAATATGTTTACATTTATATGTTTACATTTACGCATTACTGAAATTATGATAATTTAATAGCAAGTTACTAATTAGTATTAACTTTAATCTTTAAAATAGTGAATACGTCTTCCAAAACACCAGGCTTAAATTTTAAATATTGAATACGCTCTTGCAAGGTACGAATACTTGGATAAGGCAAATTCTGTCGACGAATTTCCTCATATCCTTTTTGTCCACAGGTCACATAAAGTTTCAATGCTTTATTAAATGTACGTGACGACCATAATATTCCTCTGTACGATAAACATGCGATACATTGTCTTTGATCAATGTTAAAAACTTTATCAAAATTTTCTGGTCTTTTTCGCAATTGTACTTGTCTTCTTCGCAATTTTGCTTTTAATTGATTGCATAGCCGTTTAGTCATCTTCAAATTTAATTTTAAAGATTCTATATATTTTGTATTATACATTTTATACTTTGATTTGCATTTATTATGTTTGTTGTTGTATTGGCCTCACATTCACTTACAAATATTTATTTTAATTAAATTCAAATTTATAATAGTAATAGATATGCTTTTATTGTGCAAAACTTACGAAATTCCATATTTTGACTGGAAAATTCCGAATTCCTAGAATTATTTTCCTCTTCATCTTTATTATCTTTATCTTCTGCTGTGTGTTTCAGTAACAAATTGGGTTTTGAAAATGGACGAAGCAGCTTTCTTCCATCTTGACGATTATTTTCAAATTGATTATTGTCGAAATGGACCTGTGAAATTAATGTAATAATTATTATATAATACATAATAATATTTAAATTATATGATAATAACTCATTAATAATACCTCACAAATTACAGCTCTTTCCGGCAATGTTTCTTTACCAATTAATTGAAGCCATTCTTTACGTCTATCTCCTGTTGGCACGCGAAATAAACGGAAGCCTTTTTCGCTGCGGTTTTTGCAATTCTCAATACAGCAACCGGGCATTTTCGACGTTTTCTAACCAGTTCATCTACACGTCACAAACGCATATAGGTTATAATATCCACGCCATTTTGGCTCCAAAGATACGTCACTTCCGTTTTTCTCATCGCGGTACTTTGTTAATCTAATGACTTTAATCGTACCTACAGACACGGAGTAATAAGAAGGACAAGAAGACTAGAACTAAGGAGGATCAACTCGCGTGGTGGGGGTGAGTCAAAAACGTCCGCGGCTATTCACACGATGTGCAGCGGCACTGCCCATTGTGTGAAAGTTCGATATAAGAGCGACAAAGTGACGATTATAGAACGATAGAGCGACGACTATATAGAGCGACAGAGAGGACTAATGAAGCGCAAGAGTGGGGGAAGTTATCCGTCGCCACTTTTTGCCTCACCCCCACTACCGCTATTGGCACGAGTTGATCCTCCTTAATTCTAGTCTTCTTGAAGGAGATCAAGCTCAAGCGGTCGGCCATGAAAAGATGGGCTCGAAACACGGTGTCGGAAAAGCGCTGTATAGAAGAACTGATCCGAGCGCACCTGTCGGAGAAAACTGTGAACTAGGGTACTTTTCAACAAGTCGTATTTCGTATGCGCGCGAAAACGTGTTACGTAATGTTAAGTGTTTGTGCATCGTAAAGTGTTAGAACAATTCTTGTGCTCAGATCCTAACGAAGTATGAGATTCCAATATTTCCTTTTGGTTTTGATTTGGTATGTATTCAATAAATAAATATTAAAATTCGTCTATAGAAATCATATGTATTTATGTATGACAAATAATATTAAACTTGAGGAGAAACTGCTGTTTAATCTACTAGATTAATGAAATTCGACTTTGTTCCTTCTTATTAGAGAGTAATATTTTATTAATATTTTTTAGATTATTTGTCCAAATATGCCTAACTGCATAGTTCCTTATTGTAAATGTGGAAGCAGTGGAAAAAGTCTATTTGCACCATGAATGGTAAGAGGAAATAAATAAATAAATATATATATATATAACTGTTCAATTCTCTTTATTAAAAATACCTCCGTGATTAAAAATAAATGAAATTTCTACATCTCAAAACACATCGAAATGTAGGTTAGCAAAATGTAGGTTAGAGAGAGCGAAATGATGTCACGCGACAGTCAATACTTCCAACTTTTCCCGCAATGGCGCTAAAATCACATCTCGATTTTTCATGGGGTTTTCCGAAATCGTGTTTCGAGCCCATATTTCGTCCTCGAGCTTGATCTCCTTCTTATTACTCCGTGGATCCATAAATAAGAATCATGAAGAATAAAGAAGAAGGAGGCCGAACTGCGTGTTCCGCTTTCTGCTTTTTCGTCAGTCCGGATCTACAATAGGTGTTTTAAGATTTAAGCCGTAAGAAATTGACCAATTACAGTCGAATCCGAGAAGAATAATCGACTGTAATTCCCATTTCTTACGGCTTAAGGCTTGAAATTCTATTGTAGATCCGGGGTCAAGATGCGAACGCGCCCTCAGAAAAAGGAGAGGTTAGGATGAGGAATTGCATCAAAAATATGTGCAGGAAATGGCGACTTCTGATTAATTAACGTCACTCTCTTTATATCACTCTAGCCAAGAAGACTAGAACTAAGGAGGATCAACTCGTGCCAATAGCGGTAGTGGGGATGAGGCAAAAAGTGGCGACGGATAACTTCCCCCACTCTTGCGCTTCATTAGTCCTCTCTGTCGCTCTATATAGTCGTCGCTCTGTCGTTCTATAATCGTCACTTTGTCGCTCTTATATCGAACTTTCACACAATGCGCAGTGCCGCTGCACATCGTGTGAATAGCCGCGGACGTTTTTTGACTCACCCCCACCACGCGAGTTGATCCTCCTTAGTTCTAGTCTTCTTGACTCTAGCCCAAGTTAGAGATCCTCAAGTAAGAGATGCGCGAACTTCGAGCATTTGCTAGAGTGGGTATAAAGAGAGTGAAGCCAATCCTGGTTCTCCTTCCTGATTGGTTCCGCCATTTTACGATTAACTGTTAGTTAGAGGAAGACGACGTTAGAAAAAGAAAAGGTTAGGCTGAGAAATTATTTGTTGTAAATTGGCGACTTCCGGTTAATTGGCTTCACTCTCTTTATACCCACTCTAGCATTTGCAAAAACATGGCGATCTCTATTATGTGTGTGATACTTGTATGTTTGTAAGTACAAATTACTAAATTTAGATAATAATGATTCAATATTATTATAAAATATTATTATTATTCCATATAAGTTGTAAAATTTATGTGGTAATTGAAAATATTGTAACGTAAGCATATTCCTATAACCTATAATATAATGTATATGACTTTATAACGCATAAGTAAACAATTATAGGTAATATTTAGAAAATAACAATACTAGGGGCTGTTGCATGCCAAATTATAAAAATTCAGCGGCTAAGAAATTTCTTATGATCTTGAGGCTTCCACGGGTGCTTTCTGTATCCGTCTTCATCAGGCTGCTTTTCGCCCTGATGAAGTGAACTGCAAGGTTCACGAAACGTTGGCATTCCAAGAATGGACATGGACACGGAGAAAACCCACGAAACGGATAACCTTCATACAAATTTCTTATGAAACATTTCACAAGAAATCCAGACAAAAGGGCTTAATAGGTTGTAAATATTCCACGAGCGAATTAGATACCCACGGATTCTAGCATTTTTAGCTGTATTTGTGAGGTATGATACTTACATTTACTTAATAGCCAATTTCCTATAGGCCACTATTAGTAATCAAATCTTATATTTATTCAAATTAGACTATCTGAAATTCAGATTAAACTATTTTCAGATTCTTTGCAGCCAATGAAACGAACTGCATAGTATCTGAAAATACTTATACTATAATATAATAGTTTATCAAAATATATAGTTTATATTATATACATGTAAAAAGGGCTTAATAGGTTGTAAATATTCCACGAGCGAATTAGATACCCACGGATTCTAGCATTTTTAGCTGTATTTGTGAGGTATGATACTTACATTTACTTAATAGCCAATTTCCTATAGGCCACTATTAGTAATCAAATCTTATATTTATTCAAATTAGACTATCTGAAATTCAGATTAAACTATTTTCAGATTCTTTGCAGCCAATGAAACGAACTGCATAGTATCTGAAAATACTTATACTATAATATAATAGTTTATCAAAATATATAGTTTATATTATATACATGTAAATTTATAATATACATTATTAAATACATTTTCATGACATAACTGAATTTCTCTTTTTCAGGTTTAAACACAAATTTTCACATAATGCATAAAATATAAGAAAATTAATCCAGAATCTTTTATTTTAGGAAGAAAAATAGCCAATTTCCTATAGGCCACTATTAGTAATCAAATCTTATATTTATTCAAATTAGACTATCTGAAATTCAGATTAAACTATTTTCAGATTCTTTGCAGCCAATGAAACGAACTGCATAGTATCTGAAAATACTTATACTATAATATAATAGTTTATCAAAATATATAGTTTATATTATATACATGTAAATTTATAATATACATTATTAAATACATTTTCATGACATAACTGAATTTCTCTTTTTCAGGTTTAAACACAAATTTTCACATAATGCATAAAATATAAGAAAATTAATCCAGAATCTTTTATTTTAGGAAGAAAATGAACCCAGAGATAACATACAAAGTCTTTAAGGACTTTGATTGGTATAGTTTCTTATGTATTATACATACAGATGTAAACGACGGAAAAATTCTAAAAATAATTAAAAAGTTAAAATATAGTATAATGATTAATATAGTTTAATGTCGATGGCTATAAATATATCTTACTGTTATTTGAATGATGTTTTATATTGTGCTTCAATTTTAAAAATTAAGTAAGTGTTCTATATTGTTATTAATACAAATAATACTTTATTAGACTAATTGACTGTTTTTGTCGTATACTGTAATTATATATACATATACTGTGTGTTGTACATATTCTAAATTTAAATTTGTGAGACAACGTTCATCGAATCTCTAATTACTCTTGAATCAATATTATATTGGGATGTTGTCTCAAAATAAATAAAATATAGAATACAAAATAATTAAAATATAGATTACAATTATAACCAATATGCAACGAAACAGTGTTTTATGCTTATAAAGTATTATCTGTATTAATAATATTACTTATTTAGCCTTTAAATATAAAATATCTGTCGTTCAAATAATTATGAAATAACTATATGTTTTTTTCATGAATTTTATGTAATTTGGTCAAAAGTACCGTTATTTACAATAAAAAAAAAACTAGTTTTTTACTTGATACTTTTCTTCGAAGTAAAAAATACCATTTTTTACATCTCTAATTATGCATTATGCGATATGCAAAAGTCTGTGCCTCAAGCTAGAGATCCTCAAGTATTCTCTAAATAAAATCATACATGTCTGAACATTGTGCTTTATACATTACGTTTTTCCTATTCTCTTTGTTTTTAATATGTATCATCTTCTAGTAAGTATACCCACAAAGTAAAGATGCGACAAACAAATTTAACGAAGTGAATATCATATATTCACTTAGTTAGATTTATGTTCGTCGCGTTTTATTTTATGTAAGTAGGAATAAAATACGGTTGCGCCATTGGTTGCGCCATATTCTTGCAACGTCGTCATCAACCAATCCCGTAGCGATTTTAATTCGCGCATCTTTTACTTGAGGATCTCTAGCCCAAGTAGCATAATAACGCTTGCAAAGCACTAAAAAAGCGATTATATGCGCTTTTTAGCGCTTTGTTGACGCTTTGTAAGAGTTGTGTACTATTTGGGCGATAAAGTCTGCTTAAGTGTCTCGGTAATTATAAATAATTGTTGAGTTTAGCCTCTTCACTGCGCACTTGCGATGTTAATAAAATTAGGCTCATTCTACACGTTTTTGCATGAAATTATCGAATCTGACAAAAGAAAGTGTCGCTCTGCCCCGTGGAGACCAAGATATTAATCGTTAAATTTGACGACTATTCAGGTCAGAAAATCTGTCGCGTCGATGACATATGCTGGATTCACACTGCATCCGATTTTCGTCGTACGACGCTACGCCACCAATCAGAAAACAGGGTT